CAACTGATTTTGACTAAAAGCCTTAATGACTAGGTATATACAAACCTTGTCTTCCCAATAAGGCTGCTCCCTTTATTCTAATCCTGAGCTACCTTACTCTTTTCTCATATGGGTTAAGAGTTTACTGCTTGGTCACTAATTTCAGCAGAGGTACTATAGTTTCTCTTCACCACCTCAATATTTTTCTCCATCATATTTCGGTCCCATATCGTAACCCTTGAGACTCTCAGAATTAACCACTGAGGTTTATGGTTACACAATCTCTGTGTTTATGATCTGAGCCGTGTGTCACTACGTGCTTAGTGAAACCCAAAATTCAATACCTAACATGAATTGATGGTAAACATGAAATCTCTTTTCGTTGTGAGATTCTTATGAAATTGTTACTTACCATAACATTTCTTACCTTAGAATCTAGTTTTAAATTTTATTTGAGATTTCATCATCACACATCTTCAATAAGTCACTATACACAAATCCCAACCTACTTGTTCAACCGACCACATCGGTCTCACAGGTACTTCATTTAATCTCGGTCTTATGTCAAGATCCGGGATTCTAAACTGAAGTGAAAGCCACCCTTTTAAGCCTTATAAAAAGATGCCTTTCAACACTTCTTAATAAGTGATTGATCGTAATTCAACGGGAATCCATACAGACACTTTAAGGTCTCTCTTGACCTTGAAGAAAGTGATTCGTGTCCAGGATCAACTGTTTTGTGTCTATATTGACATCACAAATTCCCACATAAATATCGCTTTATTTCCTCATCTTTGACACTCTATGCACGAAAATATTTGATTTTCCAAAAATCTAGTTCGGTTCCATCATAATCTTGTGTTTGGATGACAGTTATTTAACAGATAAGATGCTGACTCAGCCGACACGGTAACGGCTTCAATAGTGAGTTGACGGGCACGCGTGCAAAACGGAACAATTTTTCTCTCTCATGCGTAATCATCGGGGGTGCCAACCGTCGTGCTTCTGTCACATCCAAAACCGTTTCGTGCATCAAGAAGATTTGGGGGATGATTCTTCTCTTTCCTCTACCCACAGTATAAAAGGAACACTTCTGCTTTATTCGATACTTACAGCAATCAAAGATTAAACAAGCAAAATCAGGCGATCTATACTCTACTGTTCATCATCTTCAACATTTAACAATGGCGGACTCTTCCTCTGTTCAGGAAACCTCTTCCCGCACCAACATTCTTCCCATCTGCGCTCAACAAAGTCTGGTGATCGATTTAAACCCTAAAGCTTACGTGAATTATATGTATCCCATGGTAGAGTGTCTCAAATACTCTCCATTGGTACTAGACCTTTCCAAGGTTGAGATTGTGTCCATGGTATGTCTTTCCCAGGTCTTCTCCACTGCTCATTATGATAGATTAGTGGATCGAATCTACTTCTACCTTCTTTCTCACAAGACCTCCATCTCCAAGCAACGATTCTGCTGGCTCCTAGGTTTTGAAGCCGATGAATCTAGGGTTAATCCCGATTCCATCACTGTGGGACAATTATTTTCGATATTCTACAACATGTGCTACACGGAAATTCTCACGACGGTCACTAAGTTCAAGAAGTCGTGTCTTCCTCCTCCATGGAATGGCTTCTTCACCATTCTGTTCAAAGGGCTCTCTGAGCGCAGTTCTGATTCTGATGGGGCCAGCAAGTTGTTCATGACCATTCTCTATGGTCTATATCATGGCATCAACCTCGACTACGGATCGGTTCTCTGGCAACAACTCATTTAGAGCCTAGCCTCCTCCTCTCGCCACACTGAAGTGTCATATGCCAGATTTTGGACGCTGATCACCAAGTGGGCCATGGATAAACTTCATGTTCCAACCATTGCAGATTCCCTTCTCTCTTCCATCAGTGTCTTCCACACCACCAAGATCATTGTTACTGATCCGACCAAGTTCTCCTTCGTTGGATCTATGTCCGCTAGTGTGTCCAAGGAGAGCGTTATAATGAAGGCCTACAAGGACTTTTGTCCTTCGGGTCCACGGGAACTTTCTGCGGAAATGGTCCAGTCCATTAAAGACGCAGATAGACCAGCTGCTAGAGGGAAGAAACCCGAGAAAGGGAAGATCAAGAAAGCAGCAAAGGGGGCAAAGGGTCCTTCTCCTAAGAAGCGAAAACCCTCAAAGACAGATCTTCCCCCCCCCCCCAACGAAGAAGAAGAAAGCACAGCCGAAGAGGAAACTTATTCTCTCTTCTTCATCCAGCGATTCAGAAGATAACCACTCTGACTCAGACGAGTCGGCTAGAGGCGAAACTCCTCCTCATTCGCCTGCTCATGAGGTACCTGTTTCATCAAAACCTCCTTCCCTTTCTCCTATCTCCACCTTTTCCATTCCCACCATAACCTCTTCCATTCCCACCATAACCTCCTCCATTTCCATTCCCTCCATATCTAACCCTATTTCTATTCCCCCCATAACTACCTCTACTACTATTTCACCCACAACTACTTCTATACCCCCACCAATCTTCACAGAAGCCACCAAAACCACCACCAGTGAGGTTCCAACCAATGTATCTGATACGGGGGTTCGAACTTCACAACCCGAACCCACTTCCACTACCGAACCATCCGCCGCACCCTTATCTCCCACTCCATCTGCTGAAACCGAAACCTTTTTGGGAGGGGAGGATATGGTTTTTGATTCCATCTACTACAGCCCCTACCAACTTCAAAGTGATGATGATGATGATGCTCCAGTTACTAAAAAGCACATCAAGGAACTCCATGAGAAGATTGATAATCTTGTGGCTTCTTCCTCTTCCTCAAAATCTCACTTTTCGGAGGCTGCCATTCAGGGGATGGTGGAATCTCTCTCCAAAGCACACGAAGCCTTCGTCAGCTCAACTAGTGCTGCCATTGATAAATCGACAAAGGCTAGTGCTGCTGCAACCGAAAAAGTTGAAAAAACATTTCAAGATGCCCAGATCTGGTTGGAGTCTTTGCAGGCGGCATCAGAAACAAACACCAAGAAGATTCGCACCGTTGTGGAGAAGCTGGTCCATTCTTTCGAAACCGAAAAAGACCAATTTGCCAGCTTCTGTCAAAACCTCAAAGAAGACAATCAATCTTTTCAATCTTCGGTTGCGGATCGTCTTCTTACCTTTCAAGCCACTCTTGCCGTCGAGTCCACTACAAAGGACGAGCTTGCTCGAAAATCTTCCGAGCTTACTCTTGCAACTCATCAGCTCTCCCAAGCCGAGAAGGAGATTGATTCTCTTCGGTCTGAGAAAGCTGTGGTCAGGAGTTGTGTTTCAGATGTCCATGGAGCTCTGTCTAACATTATCGAAGCCCATGATCCAATTCTTAACTATTCGGTGAGGCGCACTCTTGCAGAGAAGCTCGCTCCTGCTCTTGCCCTGCTTAGCCGCCTTGAAGGGATTCCTGAGCAAGAGGAACATCCGAAACAAGGGGGAGAAGGGAAGTCGACAGTTCAATCAAAACCCCCTCCGTTTTCCAAAGCTCAATCACTTCCAGTTTCATCACTTGTCCCGCCGAAAGCACCCAAACCAACAACTGTTCCTGCATCAGGTTTGAGTGCTCAAAGCAAAGACAAACAAATCATCGATGACAGTGATGAAAGTGATGATCAAGAACCGATTATCAGCTTAGTGAGGAAACAGGCTAGAGAGAAGGAGCTGGATGAAAATGCTCGCATTGCCAGAGAGGCTGAAGCCAAGGAGAGGAAGATAAAGGAGGCTCATGATCTCCTTGAAATCAGAAAAACTTTATTTCCTCCTTGGACTCTCGAAGTTCTTATCAAAGAAGCCATTGAGTCCCCCTGCACTCTTTGGCTAGAACCGGTGATCTCCTTGGACCGGGTTAATTCGGTCGATTCCCAGTTTGACATGCCCCTGACCAGAAAAGCTTTTATCTTCCATGCATTCACCCACATAGCTGAAGTTCCTCATCCTCACCCGAAGGTTGATAGGGAGCTTGTAGACTATTATCTGAGGACCGCTCAACCTCAGTATCAGACGTGGAGCGCATAGAAGATCATCAACGTTCGGGTTCTCAAACCTGTTCGGGAGGGCAACTTCATCAATGTTGGATTCAAGGTCTTGAGGGGATCTGACAAATCTGAGCATTCCATCTCTCTGGCTGATCTTCCCAACTTAAACCCTCATGATTGGATAGTCTTGCACAACATTCTTCTTGTTAATGAAGTGGAATATGGTCCGATCATAGACCATTTCAAGAGAATGTTGGTTTGTTATATTTTGGAGGTTGCTAAGCTGGATCAAGAGTTTGCTAATGTTCTCAAGACGAAGCCCATCATCACTCCAGTTGGTTCTGCAAGCGATATAAACCGAATGAAGATGGGAAAGATTGATCCGAAACAAAACTCAGTCATGTTCACCAGGGCAGAAGGTTAGAAATGCTTATTTGCTTTGGCTGACAAACATCTTTACACCACTTCCTGCTTGGGGCATGTTCTGGGTATCATCAATCGGTGCAAACAAAACTCGGAAAGTGATAAAAAGTACTTCAATGATATGATCAATTGGTACATTCACTTCCGACAAACACTTCTTGATATCATTCCTTGCCTATTCAAGACTGTGAAGAAAGCCAGTGCCGCAGGAGTAAGCAAGCTGGAGTGAGGTCTCGCCCCAATTGATGCAAAGGGGGAGATTTTTGGGTATTTGATGTTGCGTCTTGGGCTCGCCTCTTAGCCCATTTGATATACGGTATGGGCCTATCCATCCGTAACTTGTTTTGTTAGGGTTTGTGTATTAATAGATGCTTGCATGCATCTTTTTCATAACTGATAGATCGTTTTTTACGTGTAATTAAGAAGATCTCTTTTGTAACCCTAAAATCCTCTACATCGGAAGTTCTTTATCGAGCTTTGCTGAGGATTGAACGTTCTAATCATTCGATTCATTCAAATCCATTTTTGAGTATTGTTTCATTGTTTTACTTTCATTATCTACCTGTTGCAAAGATCTAATCGATCAAAGAGTTTTTATATCTCATCAGAATTTTTATCACTTTGAGTACCCAAATCCTTCAATTCATCCAAAAATGAATCAAGCTTTATGGGTTCACTTCTTTCCCTCTCTATCACTTCTAGCCCTTCAAATTTCTTTGCAGACAGCCTTGTGGATCTTCGTGTGTTGTAAGCTTTCTGTATGGTAGTGGTAGTAGTAGTAGTAGTAGTCTCCTTTTTCAAAGTTTCTTGATGAGTTGATGTTGTAGTCCCCTTCTTTCTGGTGCTGGAAACCATTGGAGTTTTCAGGAATTCGTTGACCTCTCCATCCAATTGCGTCCTTACTCCACGAGAAGTTGCCCTGCTCACAGTCATATGGAGAGACTCGGTTTCAAAATTATTAGCCTTTTGCCTAGTGGAAGTCCTATAGATTGTGCGAGGAACCCTGACTGATGTAGCATGAATTCTTTCAGGCGATTCAATTGACAATCCAATAGTTTTAGACCTTAAAGGATTCAAAAACTATTCAATCCCTTCCACCTGATTGAATATTGGAAGCAACAACAGTTTCTAAATCAATATACCAAAATTTAATATGTATAAAGTTGCAGAAAGAAATCATGGTAAAAACATTCTGAATTACACAGATAACGATCTTCTTCATAGTTGGGTAATAGAAACAAGGCGCAATCAAATAGATTTTAAATCGAATGCATCTTTCTCAATGTGAACATATGAAGATGCATAAACAAATTGGATTAAAATGAATAACTCTTTCTCACAAAAGATAGGATAGCTCATAAAAATGGAGAAAACATAAATCAACCATAAGAGCAATATGGCAAGATCAGTGACAGTTGACAAATCACAAAGCTTTATAGTATTAATTTAACATCTATACACAAAAAACAACACTTCGCCAATAACGGGAATATGAGATTGGGTTTTGCAATACTAAATACTAATACAATAAGAAGATACATAATCAAATTGTATTGGAATGACTTAACTTACAGTCTCTAGAGATTTGAGAGCATCGACCATGGCAATGTTGGTGACATTAGCAGGGGTTTTGTAAAGCTTGCAGAGAGCTTGAAGTCAACGCAAATCAGAACCTGTAAAAATCTCGATTATCAAGTTGAGATGATGAATTTCTGATTTTTGTAAAGAATGAAAAGCACTTTCGACTTGATTGAATATAAAATCTAAATAGATGAACACGACCGGCATCAATCTCTTGGATCGTGGATTATTCATCGATGATTTGGAGATGAATGACAGTGGATTTGTAGTAGTCTGCAGAGGTAGAGGTGGTCGATCAATAGAGGAGGGGCGAAGAGGGAAGAGATATAGTGAAGAAGATGATGTGAAAGAGAGAGAGAGAGAGAGAGAGAGAGAGAGAGAGAGAGAGAGAGATAAATGAGAAGTTTAATCAGGGAATTAAATAATTCCAAAAATGTCATTGATTCATTTCAATTTTTTTACCACTATATCTTATTTTCTCTAACTATTTACAAAAATGCCATAAATCATCTTGACCCTTTATTATTTTCATCTAATGGTCCTTGTTTGGTTTTCGGAAAACTATAAATTCTCAAATGATCATTCCCCTCTCTCTCTCTCTCTCTCTTTATATATATATATATATATATATATATATATATATATATATATATATATATATATATATATATATATATATATATATATATATATATATATATATATATATATATATATATATATATATATATATAATTGTGAGAAAATTAAGAAATGATAACGAACTGAATCAAATTTAATTTACAATTAACTGAATCCTTGATTCGAATATTGTTTAATGAATTGCAATTGTTATAATAATAATTAATAAAGATAAAGTTTTTATCTCTTTGGTTATGTTTTATATAATTTAAAATTAAAGAAGATAATGCAAAACTTTAAAGAAAAAAGGGAAGAGGGATTCAAGGGGGACCATTAGGCGTGCATTGTGATTATTCCATAAATAATTTGAGTTTAGATCTTGTAATTTGGTTCAGATGTGGTCCTTGGATCATTGAATAGAGTGGAAATTTTGAACTCAATATCTTGAATTTTTAAACTTTTTATTTTATTCCCCCAATTAGTCTAGATATTCGTTTACAAACATAAACTCCCTCCAATAATTTATTTATCATGTTTTTCAACAGTGTTTATAATTTGTGCAAAAATATTCATTATAAAGCAAACTAATTAATACTTCATTTTGTAAGTATCATATAATTGCAAAACGTTCCCTCAATTTGTATGGTGTCTTTACGACCTAAGAATTTGATAGTTACGTGTTTTTAGTTTAATTAAGATATCTTACACGACAAACTAGTTCAATTTAGTGATTCATTTAGACGTTCTCATTAGTCATACAAGTGTATTTAGAAATATAACAACCCACTATATATAGGACATGTTTTTGGAACAAATACATTGGCAGTGAATTGGTGAATAAGTCTATATGTTTCTTTGATGATCAAATATATTGCACTTCAATCTTTTGAAATGCCTATTGTTAATATTTAAAGAACAGTTTTGGTGAGATGTGCTTATTGTTACCCCTTTTGTAACCATGTTTCACTTGATCAGTAATATCAATCACATATTCATATATGAAAACTGGTTTATTAGGATCATACGTTAAACTGCATGTACTTCAAATATGGGTAATTATAGCTCGAATCCATACACACTCTCTAGTCGCCTCATAGAGTGCAAGTAGTTTGGAGTGATTCGCCGAAGTAGAAACTAGAGTTTGTTTACAAGACCTCCACATATCACAATGTTCTTAATAGTAAAGACATAATCAGATTGGGAATGTCCCTTATGCAGGTCTAATAAGTAACCTAGATTGGCATAGCCGACAAGGATCACATTGTTTTTAGTATAATTTACGGTAGATCCACTCGAAGAAACGTAGGTAGAATAAACCCATATCTGTAGTACCATTAAGGTAACAATTTTTTTTTAAATACCATTTCACTGGTGGCTTGTTGGCGCAGTGTTGTGTCAAGCAAAACAGTTCATAGAAAACAAGACAGTTTGGTCTAGTACATTGTGTCAAGTACAATAATTCACTTATTTCACCCATATACGAACATTCAAGGCTCAATATCTCTTTATCGTCCTCCTTTAAAAGAAGTGAGTCCTTAATGTCTAGCAAACGAACGATCATGGGAGTAGATTACAACTTTTTGCATAATGATGACTAAAGCGTCTCAACAACTTCTTGGTGTAATTTTCTTGATGGAGTAAAATTCCATATTTAGTCGATGCAATATTGTGTCTTCCTAAGATCTTCAATCTCAAATTCCTTTTTTAGGATTTCAACATTTTTGAACAATTCTTTTGATTTTCCTATGAGATTCATATCATCTACATAGACTACGATAATCACATATCCTAAAGTTGATTTATTTATGAACATGCAGGGGCATATCTCATTATTCAAATACCCTATTCTAATCAAGTACTCATTTAGATGGTTATACCACATTTGTCTTTATTTTTTCAATCCATTAAGTCTCGGTCTCAGTCTTATTGAGAACATGTTCCATGGTCTAGAAGACTAGAACTACTTGATCCGGGAAACTTAAATCCATAAAGGACTCTCATGTATATTTTTGTCCAGATCCATGTCAAGATAGGTTGTAACCACATCCATGAGATGTGTAACGCCCACAAATCCGGGCTAGTCAATTAGAGGCAATAGGGATCAAAAACGATTTTTCGAAAAAGATTATTTAGAACAGATAATCTTAACCAAGTTGTAGAATATGTCACAAGGTTTCCATACATATAAAGAACGCCGAAATCCGAGTTATAACGAAGAAGTTATGACCCGTCGAAGTTTCGCGACGGAACCGGCACGACACCGGGAAGCGTAAATAGTGAATTTACGATAGAGCAAGATTTAGCCTTAGCGCTCTAAACGAAAGTCGTAGAATACGTTAAACTAAGAACATCGATAAAAAGAACGCCCAAATCTGACTTCATATGAAGAAGTTATGATTTTTTGAAGTTTCGGATTAGTAGTGTACAGCCCGAAATTCGAATGTTAGATCGAGCGGTTTTTGGCTGACACGACCTAAATGAGAATCGAAGATATCATGAAGAGTAGCATAACGAGAAAAAGATGGGTGAAAACGGACATCGGATGAAGAAGTTATGAGGATTTAGCGGACCAATCCTGTCCCGGCGTGTTAATAATATAAAATTTAAAATAGATTCAAAATTAGCCGACGGAGTCTAAACGAAAGTTGAAGAGTATGTTCCCGCCTTCGCGTGGATATAAAGAATGTTGAAAACAGAGCTTGTACGTGAAAGTTACGAATTTTTAAAGATTGTACTCAATTTTGCGAAATCTGATACGAAGTCGCTGATGTGGCGCTTTCCCAGCCGTCCGATGATGATCGCTGAAGTCGCCTCGGATCGTGACACGTAGCCCCCTCGCTACGCCCAGCGTTCGGTCTCGTACGCGCCGCGTTCGCTTAGCTATGCTCGGTCCAGGAGAAGCCACGTCGAACCATCAAGCCTTCGCCACCTGGTCATCTTATCCGGAGTTACGCCTCGCGTAAGGTCCTCGGTACGCCCAGCGTACTCCGAGGCTGCGGTCTATAAAAGGGAAGTGAAGCCTCTCGGATTTTTCACACCTTCCACCACAAGTTTCTCTCTCTACTTTCTCTCACTAACCCCCTAACCCTCTCCTAAGCCTAGGTAAACCCCTAGCACCCCGAGGGAAGTCCCGAGGCTCCCGGAGTCCCGAGAAAAAGAGCCTTTCGGTTTCGAAACGCTGCTCCAATTAAGTTCCGGTTTTCGATAAAATTTGTTGTAAATGTGCTATGCTTACGCAACTTTTAATATAGCTTTCAAATAATTATAGGAATGTTATTAGGTCAGTAAAATAATTATTTGGGCTATTATTATGAGTTATATTGAGTGTTATTTAACACTTATATAATAATAATAATAGTTAGACTATTAATTTGTCGCGGTTATCGTTAGACTAAACCCTAGTGGTATTGGTACTAGGTTTTATCAAAGGAAAATCGTTTTGAGAGTATCGAAGCGCTATCCGAGTGTCGAGTCACCACCTTTCAGGTGAGTGCATGGTACCTTTCATCTTACACATAGATATGAAGTATTTTATTATAAATTACGTGATATGTGTGCATATTGTCTGAATACTTGTTGTCTATGCTGGTGAAAGATCTTTATACATGTTTTAAATGATGTAAACTGTATAAAGTATTTTATATCTACAAAATATGTTGGGTAAAACATGGGTAGATGAATGATGAGGGATAAAAGAGAAATTAGAGGAACATTAGTAGCATGGACCTAGT